CCACCGAAATTACGTCCGTTTGTGCGCGATTCTGCGCGCCAATCAGACTCGGCCTCATTGCGAGAGCACGAGAGCGATCGCGATAACGAGTAGTCAAGTCGATCGGTCTTTCCTGCTGTATGGGGGTGAATTTGGAAACCAACTCCCTCGAGCCTTCTCGTTTCTTTCATCCAACGGTCGATAAGAGTTCCGTCGAGTATTTCGAGGATTACATCGATAGAAGTAATCCGTGTCCCCGGCGGTGAAACAAAATTTTAAAAAAACGAAATAACTTGGAAAACTTCACGTTGACTTGTTTTCGGTGTTGTTCACGATAGTTTCGATGATTAAAATTAATCGAAATAATTATACTTGTAATTGTTTAGATCTTGGAGCAATTGCATGCAAGAATTTTCTACGATATAATTTTAGTATTTCCATCGAAGATTAAACTTATTTTTCCATCGTTCGTCGCGACAGATTAATTTCTGCGAAGTGTCGAGAATTTTTCTTTTTTTAATATTCGAAAAGGAAAGTATATTTGGAGTCTGAGAGAGGAAACGTTGGGACCTACACGTAGAATAGGTGGCAAGAACTCGTACAATTGTATCGTCGCATGCGATTCACGCGTGCACAATTACGCGAACATTCGGGACGGAGGTCTGTCGAAGACATTTCGATTAACTTCACCGCGGGAGCGTTCCGGTTTTTCTTTCTTCCAGGGTTGCCAACCCTGGAAAAGGTTTCGACGAAATAGCACGATGAAGGGGGAATAGAATTGACAATTATTGCGATCCTTCCCAATACGAAGAACATTATCGGAGAGAACAGCATTGAAAGAGATTCGGAGGCGAATATTAAAGTCGTCCTCGTGTATTTTGGAGAACCAACCATTGTCTCCGGAATGAATACCATGGAAAAAGTCTTGCAAGTTTCTCATTTCGCTCGCGACGAAGAAGACGAGAGAAATGCTCCTAGCGTTTTCCATTCTTCAAAGAACACGCTTTCCCCTCCTCCCTTTTTTTTTTCTTCTTCTTCTTCTTCTTCCTTGTATCCCTTTGTCCAGCATCGAAATGAGAAAGCTTCTCAATACCAAAAATCAAGCAGCGTCTCGTCAAAGAGAACGCATTTCTGTATTTTCTTGGGAATGGAATGGACCTCCAGATATCTGATGATATCAGAATTTCGAACGAGACGAAATCGTTTCTACGTATAGATGAAACTGGCGTTCCGATGTTTGCTTTGCCTTTCGCATTCAATTCAACGAGCATAACTAATTAATTTGTCCGAGGTATGACGGCCTAACCGAACCCCCATCCATTTAATCAAGTAACACTTCAACGCGTGAAACTTGACAGACTGCTCATTGTCAAATCGCTCACTGGACACGATAATTTCATTCGAATGGCGGAAGCAGTCCCTTCCGGCCTTCTCTTTCTTTCGACGGTTAACGGTTCGTTACGGTTCGAACGAGCGGCTAACCTATCGAGTTTTTATGCCAGAATTCATTCCGCGAGAATGGAAGTCGAGAAAAAAAACTTCTTTCTTTCTTTCGTTCTTTCTTTCTTTCTTTCCTTTTTTCTTCGAAAAAATTTCTTCTTCGAGAATTATTTATCTTCATTGTACACGGGGGTGGAATAAGATTTCGATGAAAAATTTCGGCCGATTCAGTATTCGAGTACTGAAAACGGTCGTGGGGCGCATCAAGCGCCACAAAATGCTCCCTCCCTCCCCTTTCCTCTCCTCTCCTTCCTCCCCCATCCCTAATCGATATGAAAACTGGCCGGCGCGGCGCTCTTCCTCGTGTCGTTTTGCGACACGCGTGTCGGCGTGCGCGCACACGAGCGCGGGAGAAACAAAAAAACGCGCGGGACAAAGGGCCCGGAGAGAGGAGCTACAAAGAAATTAGGAAAGAAATAGAGGGTCGGAGTGGTTGCGGAACAGGCAGGAACAGAGCAAGGGACGAAGAAACTCGATGGAGACGCGCGCGCTAGATCGAGAAGCGGAAGGAAATTCACGCGGCAACGAATTGGACAGGGAGAGAGAGGGAGAGAGAGAGAGAGAGAGAGAGAGAGAGAGA